GCCCGAGGCGGAGGGGAGCACGATCCGGAGGCGGAGGGGAGCACGGCCCGAGGCGGAGGGGAGCACGATCCGGAGGCGGAGGGGAGCACGGCCCGGATGTACAGGGGAGCACGGCCCGAGGTGCAGGGGAGGTGGAGGGGGGAGAGGGGAAAGAAGGACAACGACAGGACAGCCCCGGCTCCTGCTCAGTTTGTTGGGAATGGACAGCTTGTCCTCAGGCGGTTCTTCTCTTTATTCCTGATTTCCACCTCTTCCTACTCTGGTCTGTGTCTGTCTGTCCATCTTGGAGCTTAAACGCCGGGCCTGGGCGTTGTCCCTGACCTCCTTTCTTTCTTTCTTTTTTTTTTGTTTGGGGGGAGGGTCTGGTCGTGGGGCCTGAACTCTGGGTCTGGGCGCTGTCCCTCAGCTCTTCAGCTCAAGGCTAGCGCTCTACCACTTGGGCCACAGCGCCACTTCCAGCTTTTTTTGCTTATGTGGTGCTGAGGAATTGAACCCAGGGCCTCATGCATGCAAGGCAAGCGCTCTACCACTGAGTCACCTTCCCAGCCCCCTTCCTTTGTTTCTTGAGCTCCAGCAACACCTCAGGCTTTCTGGGGGTTAATTGGAGATGAGTCTCACAAACTCTTACCCTGACTACTTCAGATCTCAGCTCCCCAAGTATCGAGGATTGCAGGTGAGCCCCATTTATCTTTCTTGGTGGCATGTAAATTAGTGGAAGCATGGGTTCTGCTGCTTATAGTTGGGTCACACAGGAAAAGTAGATTGGGAGCTACTGGTCCACTCCCTGTAATCCTAGCACTTGGGAGCTGAGGCTGGAGGCTCACATTGGTGACCAGCCTGGGCTACAGAGAGCGGCTCTGTCTTAACAGCCAATCAATCAAACTAAAGGATTTATGGTTCGTCTTCTGACCTCAGGAGGAGCAGGGCTAGTGTGAAAGCTTCATTAAGGCCGGGTGCCGATGGCTCACGCCTGTAATCTCTGAAGATCGTGGTTCAAAGCCAGCCCAGGCAGGAAAGTCTGTGAGACTCTTATCTCCAATAAACCACTAGGAAACCGGAAGTGGCACTGTGACTCACGTGGTAGAGCACTAGCCTTGAGCTGAAGAGCGCAGGGACAGCGCCCAAGCCCAGAGTTCAAAAAAAAAAAAGTAGGGATATAAGGCCCTGTTGCTCTCCCCTCCCTAGAAATGACATTTCTTGGTAGATAATTGGATCAAATCAAGTTTAGGTAGTTTTTAGGATGGTCATGATGAGGGACAAACAGACTAAAGAATGTGTATGTGTGCTGTCCCTGTCCTAGAGCTTGAACTGAGAGCCTGGACACTGCCCCTGAGCTTTTGTGCTCAAGAAGGAGGAATCTCTCAAAGGAGGAATTTTCCCCCCAAGCCATTAGAAGTGATGGGATGAGAATGACAGTTGGCACTCAAAACACGATGTCCTGTTGGTGGAGTGACACGTGGCTGTGTGTGTGGCACACCCCTGTAAGTCTGAACACGAGGCACACAGGGAGCCCTTGGGGTCCCAGTTTAAGCGATATAGAAATAAGAGGCGCAGGGAAGTGGGAGAGGAGGGGGAGGAAAGGGACTATGACACATTACTCAGGAAGTTTGGGGGAAGTTTCTGTGAAGAATTTGCTGATTTAAGGGCAAAGATGAGGTCAGGCGTGGATGGAAAAGTAAGTGGGTAGTAAGGGAAACCAAACAGGTCAGGGAAGCTAGAGAGAGACCTTATCTTTTAACCAGATCCTGGTGAGTGAGCTGACACACCGGACGGGGCTTTGAACTCATCATGATCTCTGCCATTAGATTGGGAAAATAATCATTTGGTTGCTTAAATGAGTGATTATGATTAAGTGAAAATGTTTAAACCTCTTATGGGCAGGTAATGAAGTGTTTTTCCATTTGTTAAAAAAGAGGAAAAGAGAGGTAGAAATCAGGCCATCATAAGTACAGATAAGTTATCATTAGGCGAAAAATGCTCACCAAGCCCTAATGGGCTCTTGCTAATGGCTGGTACCGAGTGACTGCTGGTTACAGAGTCCTGCAGATGACAGCCTCTCATTAGAAGTGTTGCTTCCTCTAAATTTCTTCAATGTTCTAAGGGGGTCATGAAGAGCACTTCCACACTTGAAAGAATAAACCAACAGGAAAACTCAGCCTTTCCCTTCTCATCCCTGGGCCTCTTTTCTCCCCTGGCCAACTGTCTCTGAAAACAAGAATGTGACTACCTGGGAATTACCTTTCCTCCCTTCCCCCTGCCTGCCCAGAAGTGAGTGCCTAGAGATCTGTTGCTAGCCAAGCTGGCTTCATAGGCTTAAGACCTCCCCCCCCCCAACTCCCCGCCCCCAGCCACCAGGGAACCACCAGCAGAAGCCCTCCATACTTGGTTTAATGCTGTGCTGTCTCCAATATGAAGTTAATGATTTCACATAGCCTCAATTTTAATTTGTTCCCAGGACTTGGGCTTGAATTTAGGGTCTTATGTTCTTGCTTCACTTTTTCATTCAAGTCTAATGATTCACTGCTTGGAACCACAGCTCCACTTTTGACTTTTGCTGGTTAATTGGAGATAAGGTTTTCATGGACTTTCCTGTCCAGGCTAGCCTTAAACCACAATCCTCAAGATGGCAGCTTCTTGAGAAGCTAGGATCGCAGGGGTGAATCATGAGCACCTGGCCTGTGTTTTCGTTTGATGGCGGCCCCTGGAAATTATGAAGCTGTGCAGACTCTTATCCTGCCAGTTAGGATGTTGGTAGATAGAGGACAGAAGGATTAGGTGAGAATATGCCTAACACAAACACAATAGCTGTGTTTCATGCCATTGCTTTTCCCGGGAGAACTGCCTAGGTGACATTGTGGTCGTCTTGAACAATGGAGATGGAAGTCATCACTGTTTTGGGGAGGGTAGAAGGTATGCATTAGTCTTTTTTGTTCCATCCTGCATCCTTTTGAAGATAGCTGTCTCATCAGTCCTAGTTGTACCCCTAACCCTTCATTGGTTTCATGACTTAATGAGGTAGTGAGTAGCTAGGATTACCCTAGTAACTTGATCTTTGGGCTCTTTCAAAATTCGTGTTTTGCCTGTGTATAAGCCTCGGGTCTTGTGACTTAGATGGATACACATTAACCTCCTCTAACCTTCTTATCTAGGTCTTGCGCTGTGCACAGTAGTACTTGTCCAGCCTTTCTGTCAGTCTTCTGGCTATCCCCCCTCCTACCCCCACGGTCATTTCCTCTCCCAGCCATTTCCTCTCCCAGCCCTCGCTGGGCCAGCCTTCAGCTCATTCAGCTGACCCTCTAACACAGGGGATTGAACACAGGGCCTTGCTCATACTAATCATTTGCTCTACCATTAAGCTCTATCCTCAGTTCCTCTTCCAATTTCTGTACTTCTGTCTGTCTTCACATCATGAATTCACATGGTAAGTGTCTTGAGGGTAAGGGCCCTAAATTTTACATATTATAGCCTGTGTGTGTGCCTAACATATCATCTTAAGTGAACAGTATGGCAATGCAATTATTATTTATTTTTGTTGGTCATGGGGCCTGAACTCTGGGCCTGGGCGCTGTCCCTCAGCTCTTCAGCTCAAGGCTACTGCCCTACCACTTGAACCACAGCGCCACTTTCTGCTTTTTCTGCTTATGTGGTGTGGAGGAATCAAACCCAGAGCCTCATGCATGTGAAGCAAGCACTCTACCACTGAGCTACTTTCCCAACCCCTATTTTTGATGATTTCTACATTTCTGGCTGTCAAAACTCTTCACTAGGTATGGTGGTACATGCCTATGATCCAAGTTCTTGGGAGACTGGGGCAGACAGGAAAATCACATGTTTGAAGCCACCCTGAGCTACAAAATAACCCATGCTGCCGGGTGCTGGTGGCTCTCGCCTGTAATCCTACCTACTCAGGAGGCTGAGATCTGAGGAACCCAGTTCAAAGCCAGCCCAGGCAGGAAAAGCTGTAAGATTCATCAGAAAACTGGAAGTGGCGCTGTGGCTCAAGTGGTAGAGCGCTAGCCTTGAGCTGAAGAGCTGAGGGACAGCGCCCAGGCCCACAGTTCAAACCCCATGATTGACCAAAAAAAAAAAAAATCCATGCTGGCACCAGTGGTTCAAGGCTGTAATGCTAGCATCAGTTGGCTGTACAAGGGCACTATATTTAAAGTATCTGTTTATGGCGACAGTGTATCTTGGTAGAATCGCCCTTTCCATCCTTCTCACTCCCATCCCATCCCAAGTCCCCCAAGCAGTGTCAGTAAGTTCCCTTGCTCCATTTTCACATGTGTATTCAGCCTTTTCCTCCTTCGCTGGCCCACCCTCTCCCACTAATTCCCCCACCAGTCAGGACCGGTTCCAACTGTCTCATTTCCTTTTGTTATACTGCCTCTGAAAATTGTTCAAAAGGATTTTAGCCTGGTACCTCACACCTGAGAATAACCAAATGCCATGTTTTAATTATTATATATGACATACAAGATATATACTATAATATATAACATATAAAAGATATATTATGATATAAGACATAATATGCAAATATATAAATGTATCATGCATAGTATATTTACATTTGTGTATATGATCCTGGATATATTTATATATATGTTTGCATTTTAGGTCTAATATCCACATATAAGAGAGAACATGCAGCCGGGCGCTGGTGATTCACGCCTGTCATCCTAGCTACTCAGGAGGCTGAGATCTGAGGATCACAGTTCAAAGCCAGTCCAGGCAGGAAAGTCCGTTAGACTCTTATCTCTAATAAATCACCAGAAAACCAGATGTGACACTGTGGCTCAAGTGGTAGAGTGCTTGTCTTGAGCTGAAGAGCTGAGGGACAGTGCTCAGGCCCAGAGTTCAAGCCCCATGACTGACAAAAAAAATAAAAAGAACATGAAAGTTTGTCTGAAGCCTGGCTTAATTTTCCAGATGTATGGCTGCATACACAGGGCTCTGTGTGTGTGTGTGTGTGTGTGTGTGTGTGTGTGTTTGTCTAAATGTCCCTCGTGTCCTTGATACATCCATCAGCTGTCGACTGTAGAGCATCTGAGTTGGGTCAATGGCTTACTGCTGTGACTAAAGCTACAAGAGTGTGTAGGTGCAAACTATTTTCAAGTAATGCCACACTCCTAGAAACGGAGGGTTAGCATGTCAGCATTCATCTGAAAGGTGAAAGGGAGCCACAATCAACCCTTAATACTCCATTAACTCACTTAGTTTCACATGGGCTTCACAATTACCTAAAAATAGGGAAAAAACTCAAAATGTTTATATATAGAAAA